AATATTTCATGTTTTTGAAAGTGTTTGGTGTGTTTGAAAAATGTTTGTTTTTTTTAGAACAGGTTGTGACCATGCAACTAAGAACGTTCTACCCTACTCAAAAGTATTTTGTTCATTTCTGTCTTCCTTTGATATTGCTATCTTACCATTGTTTGGTAAGAAGCTTTATCTTTGGATGTAAAGGGACATGCATGGGTCAATTATATAGTCATAGAAGGCAACCTGTGAGACGTTTTAGCAATTTTCATTTAGGGACTAGATCGCTTACCGAAGGCAACATTGAGGGACATCGAGGGACTACGATCTTTTTATCGAGGGACTTTTGCTAAAAACACCCATATTCCAGGGACATGACTATTTTCTGAGGCAACAAGTGAGATTATCCTAGAGGTACACATGTATAAATAGTGTGTTTGATTGCATGCATTTTTGTCTTTGAATTTAAAGGTTATCTATTTGTTGATTTTATCTTGCCATATAGCCTAATTACTAATAAGAAAGTAATAAAAATGCAAAGAATAAATCCTAAGCTATTGCAACCATAAAAAATAAAAAATAAAAGGAAAAGTGAGTCTTTTGACCCAGGCAGTATGCTCCTTCAATTTACCCTATTTCAGCTTCTTTCGATTGGACCTGCAAAAAAAAAAGAATGTATCCTTCGACCATACCCCTTTTTCTACTTACTTCGACTGGACCTGCAAAACAAAAATAAATGTATCCTTCGACCATACCCCTTTTTCTGCTTACTTCGACTGGAGCTGCAAAGAAAAATGAATGTATCCTTCGACCATACCCCTTTTCTGCTTACTTCGAATGGACCTGTAAAGAAAAATGAGTATATGTCCTTCGACCACACCTCTTTCATTTTAGATAACAGCATGGGGCAAAGCCTAAAAGGCTTCGACCCACACAACCTTCTTCCTGTCTTCTTTTGTTTAGGGACTAAGTAGCAGCATGAGGTGAGGCCATGCTAATATTGCTTCACTGCTAGATTAATTCTTTAAAAAAATGTTTGATAAATAAAGAAAACAAACCAAAATACTTAGCAAAGAAAGCAAACAAAGAAGGTGAAAACGAAGACAAACGAAAAAGGTAATGATAATGCTTGAAACAAAAAGAAATGAGTATTCACATGTTATGCTTAAAACGAAAGGTTAAGGTCAAGAGAACTTACCTTACTTGAAGCTGGAATGTGGGTCTTAGACTTGAGTTGTTTCCCTAGAAGTTCTTGAATTTGAAGGGGAAGAAACAAACGTGGTGTTTCTTTGGCTAGATTCGAAAACTAAGAAAAGTTGATTTGTGTTTGTTTATTTTTGGATTTTAAAGAAACAAGTGTGGTCTTTCTTCAAGTTTTGGATTTGGGATGGTGTTAAATGTTTGAGAGTTTTTGAAGATTCTTTTCAAATAGCCAAAATATTCTTCAGTGTTCTTCTTCTTTTTTTCTTTTCTTTTTAAACCCCTTTGATATGCAAATGAACTCTCTATTTATATAGGAAATTTTTTGAATGAGCAGCTTTGTGAAGGAATAAAATATAGTTTATTTGAAAGGCCAACATCCACTTGTGTCAACTTTTAACAATCCCAAGATAAAAGTACTAAAATCAACGGTTGAGAGGGGTGGATCCTAGTTTATAGGGGGCAAATGTGCAGAAGAGGCAGGCAAAAGGCTCAAGAACTTTCTAAAAAGGTAGTGATGTCATCAAGAGCAAGTTGGCTTGAAGAACAATTAAATATGGAGTGAGGCACAAGTTGGAGGCCTACGTAGTCTGACCTACGGACAAATTGACTCTTTGAATTGAATCCTTCATCTTTCCATAGCCTTCGACCAGACTTAATAAAGCAGCATTCGTTTCCACCGGTTGTGTATCCTTCGAATGGACCAACTGTGTGTTCTTCGAATGGACCTCTTCAGCTGAATATGCCACTGAGTCTTCTTGCTTTTGATCACTTAGGCCTAACCCTTCGACCGGACTCAAAAGTAAACAAAAACCAATTGTTTCCCGACCATGGCAAGTCCTTCGAATGGGCCACCAAGTTGTGTGGCATAATACAACACTATGTGTGTTGAAAGGTCTGCAGTTGGATTCGAAGGTGATATAAAGGCGATTCAAAACAATCCTAAAGGTGGATTAGAAGGTGACATGAAGGTGTATTCGAAGCAATTTAAAAGGGAATCATTGCTTTGTGGGTGCTAGCGTGAGAGAAACCCCTGCCTTGTACGTGTAAGTTTGTAGTAGGATTTGAAAGTTGCATAAAGATGGATTTGAAACAAGCCTGAATATTGATTTGAAATCGGCATGTAGGTGTATTCGAAGGAGACATGCAGGTGACAATGCCTTATGCATTCTAACATGAGGAAAACCCCTGCCTTGTGAATCAAAGCAAACATGTAAGGAGCCAACGGTGCAATCGAAACCAGCATGCAGGAGGCCACATGCTTTGTGTCGATGGAAAACCTTCAGAAGGCTATTGCTCTCTGAATTGAAGAAAGATTTCAGAAGGTTCTAAAGCCCAGTCGAAGCTAGCATGTAAAAGGAAATTTCTTGAATGAAACTTGTGGACCAAAGGATGCATGAAGGGGTCTAGAGTTGGATTCGACATATGTTGTTTTGAAAGGAAACCATACTCCAATCGAAGCTTCGTAAGAAGGTAATCCTTGCCCAAACGAAGCTTGACTGCAGGAGGTCATTGCTCCCTGAATTGAAGCTTGCATGCAAGAGGCCACATGCTTTTTCGAAGCTTGTGGAAAGCTTGCTCGAAGGAAAGCAAAATGTTCAATCGAAGCGTGTGAATTAAGGCTCGCTCGAAGAAGCCAGAATGTTCTGTCGAAGGATGAATGAGTCGAAGCAAGCTTGGTTTTTTATCAATTTTGTCAAAAAAATCATTTTTATCTGTTTTACCCTTTTTGTCTGTTTTGTGCTTGTGAAAACTTTGAGCTTTTGAAAATCCATGTGAGAAGATGCCTTAGAAATGAGAGGGAAAATTTTGGGGTACAACAACTGCCCCTGTTCCATCTTCTTGATCCTGAAGAGTGAGATTGGTAGATCTGCCTTTCGTGACTTGAAGGTGGAAGATGATTGAACACTTAAAGTGCCCAGAAATTTTCCCTTGACGTGTTGAATTGGGAATAAGCTTATGGATTCCATTTGGAGAGATGATGGAGAGTTGTTGGAAATGGGATTACAGATGCCACCCATAGTGACAGAAAAGGTATTTGTCTCGCCTGTCTTTCCCTACAAGGAAGAGGGTTAGTTGCATGCAGAAGTATGCATGGCGTAATGATATTCTCAAAAATAAATGACATTATGCTGTATGTATATCCAATATGATGTATGAAGGTGAAATATGATTGAAGTGCATCCTTGTCTGGGAAAATAAATCCTCGACAAATGTTGGGGAGCCTTGGGAAACTGAATCTCAGACTGCTGCTGGGGACGAAGAGCACGCTCCTCTTCAAACTTTGTTTTAGGATAGTTCCGCTGGGGAATGTTATTTTGTTTGAGAAGGATCTGAGGAGAGTGTTCATCTCCTACTTAGGGAAGAGAGCTCAGGAGTCTTAGTTGTCCATTGCTCTACTGGGGAGTTATCTCTTGAAAATTAGTTGTTATCTGGTCGGACTCCAGGCTTCACAATAACTTGCTGGGGATAAAGAAGTTGACGGTTATCTGGTTATTTTCCAGGTTTTGCAGCAACTCATCGAGGATTGTAGAAAAGTTTACTTGGGAAAAGGAGTTTTGTTTAATGATTTGTAAAAGTCAAACTGTTATCTGGTCGGGTCTAGGTTTCAGCAACTTGAATTGGAGGTTAACTGTTATCTGGTCGGGTCCAGGCTTCAGCAATTTAAAATTATGGTTTACTGTTATCCGGTCGGATCCGGGTTTCAGTAACTTGAGCTGGAGGTTAACTGTTATCTGGTCGGGTCCAGGCTTCAGCAACTTAAAAGAGGATTGACTGTTATCTGGTCGGATCCGGGCTTCAGCAAATGGAAAAGTTAAACTATTATCTGGTCGGGTCCAAGCTTTAGTAACTTAGAATTGTGGTTTACTGTTATCCGATCGGATCCAGGTTTCACAGTAAGTTGAATTGGTGGTTAAATGTTATCTGGTCGGGTCCAGACTTCAGTAACTTGGCAAAATGGTTTTACTGTTATCTGGTCGGGTCCAGTCTCTACAGTAAGTTGAGGGTAGAGTGAAGTTGAACTAGTATCTGGTCAGGTCCAGGTTTCGTAGTAACTTGCTTGAAAGGATGAAGTTGACTGTTATCTGGTCGAATTCCAGGTTTTTTAGCAACTTTCGGAGATAGCAAAGACTTTGTTGGTGACTTCACTGGGGATTAAGGGTTGTGGTCCCTTGATTCGTAATAGTCTGAGAGATAAACTCAAGCTGGAGAGGATAGACTCAACCGGAGAAGACAGACTCAGCTAGGGAATTTTGCTGTTTGTTGGGGAAATAAATCCTGTTAAGGAATTTTTGACGAGCTGCTGAGGGAGATGTATTCTTTGGACATAACTCCTCAAGACTTCTTCTTACGAAAAAAGTTAGGCCAAGCAATTTTGGTCCATGGGGTGTGGTTGATAACAACTATGGTGTCAGGCCCAAGCAATTTCGGTCCATGATTCCATTGTTGGCAAGCAAAACAAAAATAATTCCAAAAAAGTTACAGGCCAGAAAGAAGCCGGCTCGATCCAATATCCATCTCAATTCAATTAAGCCCTTAGTTAGTATACTATTCACCAAATCTGTTACTAATTCAATTACTAAACAAAATAATAATAAAAAATCAAATGAAATTGAGAGAAGGAGAGGATGAAAATGGAACACCGCATTTGGACATTGGATAGGATTACAAGATTTGAGACGGTACAACTTTAGCTTGCAAACGCCATTCTTCTCTGATCGATTCTTCCTCTGATCTCCGATCATCACATACCTCCGTCACCGTGTTATCGTCTTCTTCATTAAGATTCCGCCATCAAACTCTTTCTCATCAACTGAACGCAAATGGTGGTGCTTCTTTTCCTTTCTGCAGCGACGCCATGCTCCTTCTCCAACGAACAACGTTGCGCTGCCGCCCTTCTCACTTTCTCCTCCGTATTCTCATCTTGGATCAATCTTTTTCGTTTGGTATTTCACTGCTTCCCTGCGTCGAGTTTCAATTTGCAATGTCCGTTTCGGTTTCGACCTAGCTTCTACGAGTTCTACCTTCTTTGCGGATCCAACAACAAAAAGGCAAACATAAATTGAAGAAATATCAAAGAGGCTTACCAACCAGAGAAGTGTCTGGCGCCTTTTCGAGTTTGATGAAAATGATAAGAAAACCAGAGGCGAGCTCCTCTATTTAAGTACATACTTCCGTTTCGTTTCACAGTTACTTGCTGATTGATATTCCTATTCTTCTTTAACCTTCTTCGCGTGGCTATTTCTCTGTGCTTCCGTAGTCGTTCTTGCGTGTTAACTTGATATTGTATTCTTATTGCAGGAAGCAATGACTTTGAGGAAAACTGTGCGATGAAAATGTGATGCAGTATTGAAAGTGATGATGAATGGAGGTTCTAGAGCTTGAAATAGAGATGAAGATGAAGCAAGAATTGCAGAGAATTTGATGAAGGATCTTGCAGTTCAGAGAAGTGCGAATTGATGAAGAAGCTTGAAGGTTCAGCACGTTGAAGATTGAAGAATTTTCAGAAGAAAAAAAACTGTTATGGAGAGAGAATCGAAAGGACAATCAAAAGGTGAGTTTCCTAATTTTCTCTGATTTTTGTGTGAATGAATCATGCTCCCCCGATTTCTATTATAATTATGTTATAATTCTGTTATATGGTCTCCAAAATTTTTTTTAGAGAGTCAGTTAGGAAGTTAGAGGTTAGAGAATCTCAACCCTTGATTTGGGAAATCTGTTATGGAATTTGATGGTTGAGATTTAATCTGAGTTTCTTCTGAGCTGTAGCTTTCTGCTATGAAGCTTGTTATACAATCCCCTTTCTATTTGTTTTACTCTTGATTTATTTTCCTCTGCATTTTCTTCTTTTTGTTCTCCTTTCTTTTTCTGACTGTCATAAGAAGCTTCCATTTCAAATGTGCTAATATCCGCAAGGATGATATCCATATTTTGCAGCTGCAGCTCTACGCATTTCTTCTCGATAAAAGCTTTTTGAGTTGTGGAAGTGCAGATTCCTGTAACTCCACAATTACTGTAATTATTAGCAATGTATAAAGTAAAAGAACCCTAACCACATCCAACGTCAAGAACGGTATGACCATCTTTCAGATTTGATCTCTCGCAATACAGTTTCAATATTTCTTCTTCAACATCTTCCAATGTCTTCGAGGCATAAGAGAAATAACAAGAATTGTATTTGAGGTTGTTTCTGAGAACGAGCTTAAAGAAAGAGGTTGGTAATTCATGATGTTGAGATTTAGGCTTATCAGTACTAACTGCAATAGGCAGGCATCTCTTATTACGAATTAGAGAAAATCAGAGAGCTGAAGTTCAGAAGAAGGCTTGTAAGAAAATCGAAGGCGAGTGGCCAAAAGCAAGCGTGAGAGTCTTCTGATGACGGTGTTAGGAAGCGGTTTCGTTCTAGTGAATTGAGAATCAGCTTCGCCATTGTGTTGTACGGTAGTTGCATCATTTCTTCTATCTTTTCCATCAGAGTTGCAACCACCACAACACACTTGTTCTGTGACTGTGTAAGGTTTTCATGGATGAATTTTGATTGAGATGTCCAATGAAACTTAAAATTTGGAAATTTCCTTGGATCTCTTTTTTTTTTTTTGTGAAAACCTGAATGATGAATTTGAATAGTCTTGAAAATGGAAACTTGAACTATGATGAATGAATGACGAACCAAGTGAAATTCCATGAGTTTTGAAATATGACGTGCTTATAACTTTTCATGAATCAAGATGTAAGTTCCAAATTCCAAGCAAACCTACTTCACAAATTTTATAGTTTTGCAACCTTAATCTTGAAATGATACTTGTATGAAATATGATAAAGGCCTTTGTAATTTGAATTCTCGATAGTCTACTTGACTAGATTTTGAATTCAGATTATACTTTGCATTTGTCACTTGTAAATTATATTCAAACCAAACCATATGCATGAATTCTATTGAATCAATTTTGAAAGAAACATTTCACAATAATGAATCCACTCTCTACTTCACTCTTCAAATTCAAGTTAACTTGCAAACAATCAAGAAGTTGAAGAGATAACAAGGCTTTGATTACAAAGAATCTCAAAAATCCTACCATGTTGTATTACTCGCTCTTTAGTCAACAAAATATTACGCTGAAAACCCAAATTCACACTTAATCATTTGGCAAGTCTCACCACAAGAAGAAGACCATGATTCAATCTTCTAGACTTCTTGAAAAGAAATGACTCATAGAGTACGTAACAAAGGGAAGCTCTACATGATGATGAAATTATAATAAGGAACAAATGGTGATCCTTGTAGCCTTAAGGAGAAAAACCTAGCACGATGAACTTCTTTTGAAGATCTAATACCAAGCTCCAAACAAGATAAAAGAAATCCTAAATGATCTTGCTCTGATCCCATTAATGAAGAAGGCTTGAGATAGTGAGAGGAACAAAACCTGGCTTCAGAACATTCTTAATGAAGACATGATGAAATGTTGAGCACACGGTAAACCCCAAAGCACTCATTTCTCGAAGAAACTCTGATGAAGACAACCTTATATCTCGAGAAACCCTGTTAGTGAAGACGTCTATGCTGCTTGAGATCCAAAACCCTAATCTCATACCAAGAATAACGAGAGCACCAGTTGAATAAACTTTGAGTAAAGTAGCAACCTCAATTCATAAAGAAAACCCTGATGCCAAGAACTCTTTGATCCCGTAACCATGGAATCAATGATACGCATGAGATGTATATGCTGTGATGAGGGATCTTAGGGACAAAAATTGGGGTATAACACGTTGAGACTATTATGAAGATAGACTGATGATCACACCTCATGGATCATGGATAAGGAGTTATCAAGTCTTGATATAGGTATGAGTATTTGGAGTAATATTTATACTGGTTTGACCCGCTATGAGAATACTAATTAGAATGTTATGCAAGGTGTCATAAGTTATTCTCACGGTGTGTACCACCCTTTGACTTGAAACCACTATGGACCCTATATGTAGAGTTAAGTACTTTATTGTTGATCAAACGTTATTCATAACTGGATGACCATAAATACAGTTGATGGGTACTTCACAAAGCATGATGAGGGACATGAGTGACCTAGATGGAATTTGTCTATCCTGCATAACAAGATAGATTTCTAAGGGCCCAATATTGAACTGGACAAGGGTGACACGGTTTATACCTTTTGTTCAATATAGACACAAGGGGAAAAGGGTAATTGTACACACAAATATTATCACGGAAAGGTTTTGTTAGATCACATGACATTTTCGTGACTTGGGTAGCAGTGATATGTTGCTAGATACCGCTCATTGTTTATTATGTTAAATGTGTGATTTAATATAATTGTCGTCATAAAAACCTACAGGGTCACACACATAAGGACATGTTGATGAGAGATAGAGTAAATAAGGAACACCGTAAGGTACGATGCACTTAAGTGAAATATGGAATGTGGTAAGGTACCACGCACTTAAGTGATATGCGGTATATCATAAGGTATGATACCCGTATGTTTGATTGGGATTTTAGCTTGCATCCTTAATTGGGCTTTTAGCTTGCAACCTACATAAGTGGTTCTATAAATAAAACCCTTGTGTTGAAGCAATTCACTTGATGAAAATCTGGTCTTAAAATCCTAGCCATATTTTGTCTCATTCTCTCACTCAAAGTTTCCGTTTGTAAGCAGCTAGCACTGTGTCCGGAAGTGATATGTTCGTGTGGAATGAGTAGAGACGTTTCTATTCATCAACGTTCATGATCACAACATCAAAGGTCTGAATCATCACAATAGGTAATGATTTATATCACTGGCCATGCCCATTTGTAAGGATCACTAAAGGAAAATTTTAATTTTCCGTTGCATTTTGGATCGCAATTTTCCTTCATCCACATCTCACACCTTCACCAAACCAACAATAATCATATTACATGTTAATTATACAATCATATAACATCAGCACATATCATCGAATTATCATGTAATATGTACACCAATCACACAACTCAAATATTATGTTAACGACAATGTAATGCAATAAGACTGGCTCACAAACTCAATGCATGTGGTACCATCGGTTCATAAGAACTCACCAGTTAATTCCCGTTGGAATTCGGGTACATTACTCACACCCACATAAGCACACGATCATCCCACTCCTTGTCGCTCACACCCCACATGGGCATATGACCAATCCTCATCGCTCACACTCCACCGGGCACACAATGATATGATTCTCAAATAGAATTCAGGTATATCGCTCACACCCCACATGAGCACACAATAACCCCACACATGTACAAAAATGTATGCATGACATATGTATAACTCATACCATAATAACAATATGCACATCGACCTTTACAGTGGTTAGTAAACTTCGCCGATACCGACTACCACACATCAAACCTCTGCCAAAACATGCAGCAACAAAAAACCAATGATATGGCAAACATTAACAACATATTTGCATATATCCAACAATGCAACACCATAATATCATAATTCACCAAGCATATTATCAACTCATCATGTATTAACCAATAACAACAACACAACATCACAATATTACAATAACACAACATCATAGTATCACAATTCACCAAGAATATTATCAACTCATCATGTTATATTCAATAACAATAGCACGACATCATAATATCACAATAACACAACATCATGGTATCATAATTCACCAAGCATACTATCACAACATATAATCGAGTTTAAAAATTATTTATGACCAACATACAAGCATCCTCATCTTTATAAAACCCAAATTACATTACCTAATCATCATGTAAATAGTATACAAACTCGACATTTAAATGAGCATATCACACCACATGGAAATGTATTGTTGATACATATCATAAGCAACACAACATAAAAACACATGCCATTCTACACAATCATGCAGTAATTAAATCACCTACTGCCAACAAAACTATTTTTATTGAAAATATTATTACGCTAGCTTTCTAACGCTTCGAATGATACCCAAAATGGACTCACGATTTGAAAGTTATGAATTTTTAAAGATTTTTAAAAAAAAATACAAACACCGACGTCATACACTG